AAAAATACATTCATTGGATATTTTCACTTGCCAACTTTTTCTTTATTTTATTTTCTTAGTTTGTCCAATATTTTTAGACAAATTATCCCACAAATCTTTAAAATGTCATTCTAAAACTAATTTTGAGTCGAAAAAAAAAACATTAAAAACCCTTCAAATTTGATTTGTGTTAAGTTTTTAGCCAAATAATTAGAATATTATGAATATTGCATTCGATAACAAAACATTGAATGCACAATGTGAAAACTGACAAAAAGTCTCAAAAAGCCGAGTTTTGTCCCAATTTTTTGTTGATTTTGATATTTGTTTAATTTTTTGACTTTTAAAAATACATTCATTGGATATTTTCACATGGAAATTTTCACTTTAGAATTAATCGAGAATCGCAAAAACATCCTAAAAAACCTTTAAAATTCGAGTTTTGTCCATTTTTTTGTCGATTTTGACATTTTTATAAATTTTTTGACGTTTTAAAAATACATTCATTGGATACTTTCACTTGCCAACTTTTTCTTTATTTTATTTTCTTAGTATGTCCAATATTTTAGACAAATTATCCGACAAATTGTTAAAATTTCATTCCAAAAAAGTCGCAAAAACCCTTAAAATTTAATTTGTGTTTAAGTTTTTATCAATTTTCACGTTAAAAAAATTGACATTTGTATTGGATACTTTAACATGTCAATTTTTTTCTCAATTATTTGTGTGATCCAATATTTTTAGGCATACAATTCGAGAACTGGTTAAAGTTTCACTCTTGAATTAATCTCGAATTGTAAAAATAGACTAAAAAACCTTTTTTTGTCCAATTTTTTGTCGATTTTGACATGTTTATCATTTTTTGACGTTTAAAAATACATTCACTGGATACTTTCACTTGTCAATTTTTTTTCATTTATTTTTAAGTGATCCAGATTTTTAGGCAAACAATTCGAGAAATGGTTAAAGTTTCAGCTTACAATTAATTTAGAATCGCAAAAACATTCTTAAGCAATCATTAAAAGTTAAGTTTTATCCATTTTTTTCGCGATTTTGACATTTTAATTAATTTTTTTGACGTTTCAAAAATAAATTATTCATTGGATACTTTCACTTGCCAATTTTTTTCTTTATTTCATGTTCTTTGTTTGTTCAATATTTTTAGACAAATATCCGACAAATCGTTAAAATTGTGTAAGTCGCAAAAACAGGTTAAAAACCCTTAAAATTTGATTTGTGTTAAAAAATTGACACTTGTATAATTTTTTTGACGTTTAAAAAATACATTCATTGGATGCTTTCACTTTCTCATTCATTTTTCTTAGTACAAATATTTCGACAAATGGTTATTTATCCTCTCGAATTAATTGAGAATCGCGAAAATAGACTAAAAAATCTTCAAATTTCGAGTTTCTTGTTGATTTTGACATTTAAAAAAAAAATTGACGTTTTTGACATTTTTTGACATTAAAAAATGAATCAAACACTCAAATAAATCAAGATTTTATTCTGGAATATTGACCAAACCCCAAAACTGTCCACAAATTTGAATTTTGTCCATTTTGGTTTAAAAAAGCGTTCATCGGAGGTTATCACTTGACAAAAATAGCACAAATTTTACTTTTGTAATTTTTTGTAATCTAGTGACCGGTACCACCGACGACGGCTTCCTCGAAGGCACCACCCGAAGTGGCGGCAGCAAAAGCGGCCTTTTCCCCTCCCACTGTGTCCAAGAAGTCCGCCTCAGACATCACAACATCCACGCCCCCATGATGGTAGCAAGAGACACCCGCCCACCATCGACCAAACCCACCAATCGGGTTGTAGGCCGTCGCGAGAACACCACCTCCAAACACTTTGCAACAGCACCACGACTGAAAAAAACGTAACTCCGCCCACTTTTTTGCTGAAAATTTCCTAATCTTTTCAGTTTCAGTTATGGAGAAACTGAACCACGAACCGTAGTCTTGCATCGCGGCCGCAAAGGCTTCGGGTTCATCCTCCGCGGTGCTAAGGCAACATCCCCTTTAATGGAACTCACCCCAAGTGATAAATGCCCCGCCTTGCAATACTTGGACGATGTTGATCCAGGGGGCGTGGCCGATAGGGCAGGCCTAAAAAAAGGCGATTTTCTATTGGAGATTAACAACGAGGATGTTTCATCGGCCTCACACGAACACGTCGTTGATTTAATCCGAAAATCCGGTGATTTGGTACAAATGACAGTTATGAGTCTAGCCCCGCCTACAACTATACCAATGAGCAAATCGACGATTTTACCCGGCGACACGCCCCCTCAAAGCCGACAATACGCCACACTACCCCGCAAAATGGGCACCCAAGCCCCACTACCCCCACGACGCGACCCCAAAACCACCCTAAGTGTGGGCCGAGCACGGGCGAAAAGCATGGTTGCCGGTTTAGAAATAGAAAAAGAAGAGACTGAAGATATCACAAAATCAAGCTCGGCCGAGTCAATTTCCCCCACTCCTGTGCAATTCCGGACTGCTTCGATCCGACAACGACCGAGCTCGAGTCGGGTCACTTCGGCCGAACTCGAACAACTATTCCAAAGCAAAAAACATATGAGTAGTTCACGGTTTCAAGACACGCCTCTATCCCCGCCCAAAACACGAGTTTATGCGAGCGTTGCCGAAATGAAACGAAACAAAAACAAATCAAAAGTGAGATTTTCAACACTGTTTAATGGTAGTGGGGGTGGGGGTGAACTACATCGTGATTTTCATTCAACTCCTGATTTAGCACAAGTGGCAACATCGCATTTGAATAAAAATCATAGAAGTCAGGAGGATTTAGCTAGGGCTTTGCCACCCCCAAATCATCCACCACCGCCCCCACCTCCAATTGTACAACTTGTCAAAGTTGAAGTGTCACGTGGGGGCGCCGACTACGATTCATTTAGTAAAGAAATTCTTGAAGAAAATGTCATTTCGTCGTTTAAACCCACTGTTAATGCGAAATTATATGCCTCACCAGAGGATATGAAGACAGTGGGGTACCGTTCAAAGAGTCTCCCTTCGCATTCATCACGGCCCCCCCATGTTCGTAAATCACACAGTATGAGGACGAATTATTCGACTTTTAAACCAATTGTTGTGTCATCACCGTCGTCGAATCCTTACGCTCAACCAATGAGAGCGTCAAGGTCACACAGTTCGGTGGGGGTGAGGGAACGAAGAAGGAAAACTAGTTCGGGGGGGAAATCACCGGGAAATGCACCACCAATACCCGAACCCGATTATAGTTGTAGCGAATCGGAACGAGAGAGCGAAGAGGAGATAAAAGAGCACATCGTGGGGGCTAGATTAGAAAACAGCGGGAATAGTAACACCAGGTGAGAATTTTTTGACATTTGACAGATTTACCAACGTTTTTGGTCAAAATTAGCAAAAAAAAACATCAAAGTTTCATTGCGAAACACAAAAATTGAGCAAAAGTCGTTACAATTTGAGATTTTTACAATTTTTATCGATTTTGACATTTGGGGTATTTTTTTGACGTTTAAAAAAATCGTTCATTGGATACTTTCACTAGCCCGTTTCTTTTTGTTTCATTTTCAAGCAAATTAATAAGTAATTGGTTATGGAATGGTTACAAAACAACGAATGATTAATTTTGAAACGGAAAAATCGGCTAAAAATTTGGATTTTGTCCTAGTTTTACCGATTTTTTGACGTTTAAAAATACGTTCATTGGATACTTTCACTTGTCCACTTTTTTTACTCGAAAATTGGGTTTTGTCCAATTTTTTTCGATTTTGAGTTTAATAATAATCAATTTCACTCTGTAATGATTACAAAACATGTAGAATTGACAAGAACCAACCAAAAATTGTTACAATTCGTGTTTTGTTTAATTTTTATCGATTTTGTCATTTGGATCAATTTATTTTGACGTTTAAAAAATTCGTTCATCAGATACTCGCACTTCCAGTTCCTTTTAGTTTAATTTTTAGGCAAATAAACAAATAAATTGTTTATATTGGAACATGAAATGATTACAAAACACTGTAGATTGATACTGAAACGCGAAAATCGGCCAAAAATTCGAATTTTGTCTTATTTTCATGATTTTGACATTTGCAATTTTTACAGGTTTAAAAAGTGCGTTCATTAGATGCTTTCACATGTCAACTTTTTTTTACTTCTTTTCTCACTGTGTCCAACATTTTTAATCAAGTAACCGAACAAAATCATCAAATTTAATTTGAAAATAAGAGTAAAAATCGAAAAATTGGTCAAAAATCGTCGCAATTCGGATTTTGTCCTATTTTAATCGATTTTGACTTTTGTATCAATTTTTTCAAATGAAAGTAAAAATTGAAAAATTGATAGTAAAATGCGAAAATTGGCCAAAAATCGTTACAAATCGAGTTTTGTTTAATTTTCATTGATTTTGACATTTGGAGCATTTTTTGACGTTTAAAAAAATCGTTCATTAGATACTTACACTAGCCCGTTACTTTTTGTTTCATTTTTAAGCAAATTAATAAGTAATTGGTTATGGAATGGGGTTACAAAACAACGAATGATTAATTTTGAAACGGAAAAATCGGCTAAAAATTTGGATTTTGTCCTAGTTTTACCGATTTTTTGACGTTTAAAAATACGTTCATTGGATTCTTTCACTTGTCCACTTTTTTACTCTTTGTCCAACATTTAGAACCAAATAATAATCGAAGAAAATCATCAAAGTTTCATTCGAAAATAATAGTAAAATGCGAAAATTGGCTAAAAATAGTTACAATTTGGGTTTTGTCCAATTTTAATCGATTTTGACTTTTGTATCAATTTTTTGACATTTCAAAATTCGTTTCTTGAGTGTTTTCAAATGAAAGTAAGAATTGAAAAAATGCGAAAATTGGCCAAAAATCGTTACAATTTGAGATTTCCCTAATTTTTATCGATTTTGACACTTTGAGGTTTAAAAAATCGTTCATTAGATACTTACACTATCCAGTTTCTTTTTATTTATTTAATTTTTATTATTAATTTTTCATAAGTAAATCTTAAAATTGGAATATGGAATGGTTACAAAACAGGAAAACCACTCACAATTTGGGTTTTGTCCAATTTTGAAATTTGTATCAATTTTATGTTTAAAATTATCGTTCATTTTTTTTCACTGTCATTTTTAGAGTATTCAACATTTTTTAGGTATAGACAAATTAAAAAATTTTTAAAATGAAATGAGTACAAACCATTTTTTGACGTTTAAAAAATTCGCTCAATAAGTATTTTCACTGTAATTTTTAATACATATTTTCAAAATTTTTGGGGAACTAAACAAAAAAATCGTTAATATTGGAACATGAAATGGTTACTAAATATTGAATAATTGATACTGAAACGCGAGAATTGGCTAAAAATTCGACTTTTATACAATTTTTACCGATTGTGGCAATCTTAAAAATTTTTTGACAATTTGTATCAATTTTTTGACGTTTAAAAATTTCGTTCATTGGATATTTTTACTGTCATTTTTTTAGTGTAATCAAAAATTTTAACACAGTTAATCGTTAAAAATGGAAAATGAAATGATTACAAAACACCAAAATGTGAGAACCGGCCAAAAATCATTTCGTCCACTTTTTACCGAACTAATTTTTTTGTGTTTTCAATATTTTTATGCATATTCACAAATAAATACATTGGAACAAATCGATTTTGACATTTGTGCTAATTTTTTTGACAATACAAAAATTCGCTCATTGGATACTTTCACTGTAATTTTTAGTATATTTAACATTTTTAGGCAAATAAACAAATAGATTGTTAATATTGCAACATAAAATGATTACAAAACACTGAAGATTGATACTGAAACGCGAAAATCGGCCAAAAATTCGGATTTTGTCCTGTTTTAATGATTTTGTCATTTGTAATTTTTAGACGTTCATTGGATACTTTCACATGTCAACTTTTTTACTTCTTTTCTCACTGTGTCCAACATTTTTAACCAAACAATCGAACAAAATCGCCAAATTTAATTCGAAAATAAGAGTAAAAATTGAAAAATTTATAGTAATAATCGTCACAATTCGAATTTTGTCCAATTTTAATTGATTTTGTTCCTTGAATATTTTTTAAATGAAAGTAAAAATTGAAAAACTGACAGTAAAACCAAAAATCGTTGCAAGTCGATTTTGTTTAATTTATCGATTTTGTCATTTGGATCAATTTTTTGACGTTTAAAAATTCCGTTCATTAGATATTTTTACTCATTTTTCAGTGTAATCAAAATTTTTAACAATCATTTTTAGGCAAATAAACAAATAAATTGCTATTATTGGAGCTTGAAATGATTACAAAACACTGAAGATTGACACTGAAACGTGAAAATCGGCCAAAAATTCGGGTTTTGTCTCGTTTTACTAATTTTGACATTTGCAATTTTTACTCTTAAAAAAAAATGCGTTCATTGAATACTTTCAACTTTTTTACTTCTCTTCTCAGTGTATCCAACATTTTTAATCAAATAATCGAACAAAATTATCAAAATTTTATTCGAAAATGAGAGAAAAAATTGAAAAAGTGTAAAATGCGAAAAATCGTTACAATTTAGGTTTTGTCCAATTTTAATCGATTTCGACATTTTTAAAAAATTCGTTCATTGGCTACTTTCACATGTTAACTTTTTTTTACTTTTTTTCTGAGTGTATCCAACATTTTTAACTAAATAATCGAACAAAATTATTAAGTTTTCATTCGAAAATGAGAGCAAAAACCGAAAAATTGATAGTAAAATATGAAAATTGTCCAAAAATTTGGATGTTTTCACGTGATAACTTTTTCGATTTCCGACTTTTTAGAGAAATTATCAACTTTCCTCTCCCTAATGGTGACAAAATATTGTAGAATTGATTGCAAAATACAAAACCAACCAAAATTATTACAATTTAAAATGAAACTTTTTCTCAGTGTGGGGAGTTTTGTGCTTTATTTTTTTAATCTTATTTAACACTACTTATCCTGGAATTGCTTCTGCCAGAATTTCACAAACTCTCTTTTCCTCTCCTCCCTTCTTGCGAAATATTCCGGATATTGCGCCTTTTCCAAGGGGTGCCAATAGTCAATAATCCAATCAGGTGGTGTCACTTCCCTCAAATAGGCCGTACCTCCGGGAGAATTGGTGAATTTCCGGATGTGCCAATGCTGATTTTTGAATAATTCCTCTTCGCCTTCTTCTACGAGTCTTTTTGCACTTGCTGCATCTTTAATCTTGATGTTTTGGTCGAATCTTGCACGCATTAAAACGGCATAATAGCGATAAACGTGACGTCGGTCATACCACGATTCCAGGTTTCGTAGGGCTTTTTTGTAAAGGCTTTTGACGCGAGTTGCGTGAGAAATAAGCCCTGTGGGCAATGACATTGTCACAACCTGGAATTGTCAAAAAAACTAGATTTGAAGCCATAGAAACAACGAATTCAAGCCCACTTATCGAACGAATTTGATTGCGAAGCGTAAAAACTGACAAAAAGTGAGTTTTGGCCATTTATTTCGATTTTAAAAAAATCAGGAAATTCATTCATCGGATACTTGCACTATCCAGTTTCATTTTATTTATTTTTTTGGCAAATTAATAAGTAAATTGTTGAAATTGTAATGGCGAAAACCGCTTAAAAGCCCTCACAATTCGGGTTTTGTCTAATTTTTGAAATTTTTTTTTACGTTTAAAAATTTCGTTCATTGAATATTTTCACTGTATTTTATAGTATCAACATTTTTTGGAATTAATAAACAAGTACATTGTTAATATTGAAACATGAAGTAATTACAAAACACTGAAACGCGAAAATCGGTCAAAAATTCTAGTTTTGTCTTATTTCACTGATTTTGACATTTGCAATTTAAAAAATACGTTCATTGGATACTTTCACATGTCATCTTTTTTACTTCTTTTCTCAGTGTGTCCAACATTTTTAATCAAATAATCGAACAAAATTATCAAAATTTTATTCGAAAATGACAGTAAACATTGAAAAAGTCATAGTAAAATGCGAAAATTGGGCAAAAATCGAGTTTTGTTTTATTTTTATCGATTTTGTCATTTGGATCAATTTTTTGACGTTTAAGAATTTCGTTCATTAGTCATTTTTCAGTGTAATCAAAATTTTTAACAATACAAATAAATCGTTAAAATTGGAAAATGAAATGATTATAAAACACTGAAGATTGATACTGAAACGCGAAAATCGGCCAAAAATTCAGTTTTTGTCTTGTTTTACTGATTTTGATATTTACGTTTAAAAAAATCGTTCATTAGATACTTTCACGTGTCAACTTTTTTTTGAACAAATTTTAAACCTTTTCAGCCAAATTATCAAATAAAGTATCAAAGTTTCACTCTGGAATATTTACAAAATATTAGAATTGATTGCGAAACAGAAAAAACCGGCCAAAAATCGTTACAATTCGAGATTTGTTTCATTTTTATCGATTTTCTCATTTAGATCAATTTTTTTGACTTTTAAAAAATAAATAAATCATTGCAATTGTAATATGAAATCGTCATAAAACCACGAATGATAGTGAAACGCAAAAATCGCCCACAATTCGGATTTTGTCCAATTTTTGAAATTTGTATCAATTTTTTTCCGTTTTATTGGATATTTTCACTGTCATTTTTTAGAGTAATCAAAATTTTTAACACTGTTAATCATTAAAATTGGAAAATAAAATGATTACAAAACACCAAAACGTGAGAACCGGCCAAAAATTTAATTTCGTCCACTTTTTATCAAACTAATTTTTTGACGTTTAATTTCTCGTGTATCCAATTTTTTAATGCTTATTGACAAATAAATATATTGGAACATGAAACAATTCAATTTTTATCAATTTTGACTTTTGGGCTAATTTTTTTTGACATTACAAAAATTCGCTCATTGGATACTTTCACTGTGGTTTTTAATTTTTATAAACAAATAATTCGTTAATATTGGAACACAAAAGACTTAATAATTAATCCTGAAACGCAAAAATCGGCACAAATTGGGGTCTTGTCCTGTTTTTACCGATTTTTTGTAGCAACTTTTTGATGTTTAAAAATACGTTCATCAGATATTCGCACTTCTAGTTTCTTTTTCTTTGATTTTTAGGCAATTTAATAAGCAAATTGTTAAAATTGTGATATGGAATCGTCATTAAACACCGAATGATTTTGTCCAATTTTTGAAATTTGTATCAATTTTTTGACGTTTAAAAATTTCGTTCATTGGATATTTTCACTGTCATTTTTCAGTGTAATCAAAATTTTTAACAATATAAATAAATCGTTAAAATTGGAAGAGGAAATGGTTACAAAACACTGAAAATTGATACTAAAATGCGAAATTCGGCCAAAAATTCAGGTTTTGTCGTGTTTTACTGATTTCGATATTTACGTTTAAAAAAATCGTTCATTAGATACTTTCACGTCAACTTTTTTTTTTGAAGAAATTTTAAATATTTTCAGCCCAATTATCAAATAAATCATCAAAGTTTAACTTTGTAATATTTACAAAATATTAGAATTGATTGCGAAACACAAAAACCGGCCAAAAATCGTTACAATTCGAAATCTGTTTCATTTTTATCGATTTTGTCATTTACATCAATTTTTTTGACTTTTAAAAAATGCGTTCATCAGATACATAAAAAGATTGAATTTTTATCGATTTTGACATTTATGTAATTTTTTTTGACTTCTTTTCTCAGTGTGTCCCACATTTTTAATCAAATAATCCAAGAAAATGATTAAAATTTCATTCGAAAATGAGATTAAAAATTAAAAAAGTGATAGTAAAATGGGAAAATTGGTCAAAAATCGTTTGAAACATAAAAATTCGCTCATTGGGTACTTTCACTGTAATTTTTAGTATATATAACATTTTTTAGGCAAATAAACAAATAAATTGTTGTTATTGGAGCTTGAAATGATTACAAAACACTGAAGATTGATGCTGAAACGCGAAAATCTGCCAAAAATTCGAATTTTGTCTTATTTTACTGATTTGATTTAAAAAAATACGTTCATTGGATACTTTCACATGTCCCAATGTGTCCAACATTGTTAATCGAACTAAACTATCAAAATTTCATTCGAAAATGAGAGTAAAAACTCAAAAAATGATGGTAAAATGCGAAAATTGGTGAAAAATCGTTACAATTTAGGTTTAGTTTGACATTTAAAAAATTCGTTCAGTGAATATTTTCACGTGTCAACATTTTTTTAACACATTTTGAAAGCCAAATGATTACAAAACATCGTAGAAATTGCGAAACACAGACGTTTAAAAAATACGTTCATTGGATACTTTCACATGTCAATTTTTTTAAACAATTGAAATAAAACATTAAAAACATCAATTTTCCAAAAATGCGTTCATTGAATACTCTCACTTGTTATTTCTTAATTGTAGCCTCATTAAATTAAATTACTCATTTAATTGTTTAAATTGCAACATCCTGTGTTTATTTGCTTAAATTAATTTTTTTTTTCAGTGGCAGCAGTTCGGGTAGCAGTTCCATGCCGCACAGTTTCAGCGTCGAAGAAATCCAAAAAGGCAAATCCCTCCTGAAATCTTCCAAGTCTTATCCTGAAGACTTTTTGAAGAAACAAAACGAAGTAGCCATTGAAGACGGTGATAATAGTTCATCGGGTGTTAGCTCTGACCAAGAAGTACCAACTGGAGCCGAAACAACAGTACAAGACCACAATAGTATGACTCTACCATCGTCCAAAACCCAACGCCAACACCCAGGTAACAAACCGAGGCGAAAGCCGAGTCCTTCACTACATATATATTTTTTTAGGGTTGTTGTCGCGTCACGCCGTGTCTTTAGCCCAACTACCGCCCCCATTGGAGGGCGACGGCGACGAAAAAGACGAGTTTTGTTTACCGCCCCCGCCGGAATTCGGGGGCGGGAATAGCAACTGTGGGGAGCAAGGCGGCGAAGCCGTGCTTGCACCGCCCCCACAATTCAGTGATAACCGACAGGTGACTAGGGTACGAATCGTCGGCGCGGTGCCCAAAGGGCCCAAAAAACAGGGCCGGCTTCACAGTCAGTGATTTTTGATAATTTTTCTAATTAGATAGAGCGAAATAATTCCGTCATTTTCCATTTCAACTCATCCTGCCAACATAATATTGATATTTTTGAAAAATCACTAATGTTGTTTGTACTGTGCTAATTAATTTTTATCATGTTGTCTGTATGTATTTAGTGGCCTAAGTCTTGTGTATTATTTCGTGTAAATTCTGCTCAATGATGTAAATAGTTCAAAGGGGGAACAGTTTTTGTATGATCTTAGTTTTTGTACATTAACTGTCTGGTTTTTTTATTTTTATTTCAACTATCTTTTTGGTAGTTTTAATGAAAATTTTGCACAAGTGTGTGCCATAGCTAACACGATTATTACTATTCATGCAATGCTGTATCTACTATTTATTACTTTTGAGTAGTAATAATCTCTTATTTTTAACTTTATTAGGTTGTTTACGTCCCGAATCTCACTATTAATAAATAATTAAGGCAGAATGAAACAAGTATTTTATCCCAAAAATGTAAAAGAACAATAACAGAGTAGTGAAATAAATAGTAATAACACCTTTTACATTTTGTGATTATTATTATTTTTTTGTTAAATTAAAAAATACTAAAAGCATGTAGTCATCAATGTATCAACCACCAATGTTAAACAATTTTTTGTGTGATATATTTAAATAAAATTACATCACTATGATTTTTTTTAATTACAGGTTTCATGTACTGTTGCTATTATAAAATAAATCCCTTTTTTTTCGTTATGAAAATGTATTGCTTTTTAGGCAAACCTACCACTGCATGTAGAAAAAGATGTAAAAATGATTGTTTTTGCACTTTACTACAAATACGCAACCATCAAATGTGTTATAAACACTTTTTTGTACATATTTAATAATAAATTTACGATAAGAGTAAAGCGAGTTTTATTTGGTTCCCAAATCCCTTTACAGACTATTTTGGGTTATTTTTACACAAAAATATTTTTTTTATTAAAGCTACATTTGACAAGTGAAAGTATTCGATGAATGTATTTTTGAAAAATTCATCCAAATTTAACAAAAACTGAAATGCATGAAATTTGTTGTTTATTTTAATGAGCACATTGAAAATAATTTTTTTTAAAGTTAACATGTGAAAGTATCCAATGAACGACTAAAAGTTCAAACAAACAAAAATTGGGCAAACTCAAATTGTAACGATTTTTGGCCACTTTTCTTTCAGTTTTTCAGTTTTTGCTCTCATTTTTGGATAAAATCTTGGTGATTTTGTTCGATTATTTGTTTTAAAATGTTGGATACATTAAAAAAAAGTAAAAAAGTTGACATGTGAAAGTATCCAATGAACGTATTTTAAACGTCGAAAAGTCAGTAAAACAAGACAAAACCCAGATTTTTGTCCGATTTTCGCGTTTCAGTATCAATCTTTAGTGTCTTGTAATCATTTCCTGTTCCAGTATTAACAAATGTTAAATATATTAAAAATTACAGTGAAAGTATCCAATGAGCTAATTTTTGTAATGTTAAAAAAATTAGCCCAAATGTTAAAACCTATAAAAATTCAATCATTTCTGTCATGTTCCAATGTTTTTTTATTTGTCAAAATGCATAAAAATATTCAATACACAGAAAATTAAACGTCAAAAAAATTAGTTGGATAAAAAGTGGACGGAATTCAATTTTTGGCCGGTTCTCACGTTTTGATGTTTTGTAATCATTTTATTTTCCAATTTTAACGATTAATAGTGTTAAAAATTTTGATTACACTAAAAAATGACAGTGAAAATATCCAATGAACAAAATTTTTAAACGTCAAAAAAATGAAACAAATTTCAAAAATTGAACAAAATCTGAATTGTGAGCGATTTTTACGTTTCACTATTGTTTTATCACGATTCCAAATTACAATTTCAACGATTTATATATTAATTTGCCTAAAAATTAAACAAAAAGGAACTGGAAGTGCGAGTATCTGATGAACGAATTTTTTAAACGTTAAAAAAATTGATCCAAATAACCAAATCGATAAAAATTAAACAAAACTCGAATTGTAACGATTTTTGGCCGGTTTTTGTGTTTCGCCAATCAATTAAAAATTACAGAATGAAACTTTGATTATTTGGCTAAAAACGTTCAAAGATTTGATTAAAAAAAAGTTGACAATTTCTCATTTTCGAATGAAACTTTGATGATTTTGTTCGAGTATTATTTGGTTTTAAATATTAGACTGACACTGAGAAAAGAAGTGAAAAAGTGGACATGTGAAAGTATCCAATGAACGTATTTTTAAACGTTACAAAAAATCGGTAAAATAGGACAAGCTCAAATTTTTGCCGATTTTTGCGTTTTAGGATTTAATCATTAAGTCTTTCGTAATTACTTCATGTTCCAATATTAACAATTTATTTGTTTATTTGCTTAAAAATGTTAAATATACTAAAAATTACAGTGAAAGTATCCAATGAGCGAATTTTTAGCCCAAATGTCAAAATTCGATAAAAATTAAATCCTTTCATGATCTAATGTTTTCCTTTATTAATATACATAAAAATATTGGATGCACAAAAAATTAAACGTCAAAAAATTAGTTCGAAGTAGACGAAATTCAATTTTTGGCCGTTTCTCACGTTTTGGTGTTTGTAATCATTTCATTTCCCAATTTTAACAAGTTATTTGTATTGTTAAAAATTTTGATTACATTAAAAAATGACAGTGAAAATATCTAATGAACGAAATTTTTAAACGTCAAAAAGTTGATACAAAAAATCGAAAAAAATAGGACAAGACCCAAATTTTTACCGATTTTTGCGTTTCAGGATTAATTGTTAAGTCTTTTGTAATTATTTCGTGTTCCAAACAAAAAGGAAATGGAAGTGCAAATATCTAATGAACGATTTTTTAAAACGTCAAAAAAATTGATCCAAATGACCAAATGTGTTTGTGTTTTTCCAATCAATTAAAAATTACAGAGTGAATATTTGGCTAAAAACGTTCAAAGATTTGATAAAAAAAAGTTGACAATTTCTCTCTCATTTTCGAATTAAACTTTTTTTAATGATTTTGTCCGATTATTATTTGGTTTTAAATATTAGACACACAGAAAAAAAGTACACATGTGAAAGTATCCAATGAACGCATTTTTAAACAAAAATTTAACAAAAACTTCATCTCTTGCAATTAATAATGGGGTGTTTTTAATCATTCTTGGATGAAATTTTAATGATTTATTCATTACCCACATTGAAAAAATAAATTTAAAATAGTTGACATGTGAAAGTATTCAATGAAGGCATTTTTAAACGGTCCAAATTGTTTTTTTTTAATCTGAGGATAAAAAATATTAAATTTGGCTTTTCCTAAAACATAAATAAATAAATATTTCTCCTTGTCTTTTTTAGCAAAACCTTTTTTTCTTCACTCACGACTTGATTGTAATCGTAAATTTCATAATCTTAATAATCGCCAGCGATCCCATTTTTACGCAATTCAATAGGAACTTTTCCATTCAAGACTTTCATCAGATTGGAAAATTTTGAGCAAGGAAATTAGAAATTAATTTTTGAAAAATCAGAGTTTCAATTAAGCAAAATGCGTGTTTTATAGTCATTGAGCTGAAAAAATGAGAAACACGCAAGAAAAAATATGATTTTAATAACTAATAGATTGCAATAATAATAATAATAATAAGAAAGGGGTTTCACGCACTTTCTCTCAACTTCTCACAGGCACTAATATGCTTCGTTAATTTAAAGATACGTGTAATATACTTGATTGGAAATGTGTTTTTTGGCCCACAATTTTATTAAAATTCCGTTGAAATAAATTTAAATTACACGAATTTAAAATACTGTATTTAGTGGAGAAACCTATGTTTTATGTATACGCGAAATTACAATGCATGACATCTCTATTAATGGAATTTTTCTTGTGGTCGCTTTTAATTGATGTCCAAAAATGGTGTAACAATCATCACAATTACCTCACAAATCGTTTGTTTCACTTTCTTCATATTGACAAAAGATCAAGTTTTATTATTAAAAGATTCTTCCTCATTATTTTCTCAAAGAGCACATGTTATATTATAAACCACAAAAAAAGAAAAAGTTGTTGGTCATGAGTAATAAATTCGCCAACTTGGAATAGAAAACTCAACACTTGACAATGTAGCACATTTCAGAGGAAAATTGCACCGAATTAGGGTCAGAGGTCAATTTATGAATTAAATAATTGAAATTTTTGCGTCAAATACGTGAAAAAATTATTAACCTCGATTTTTGTTTAACTTATATCAATTTTTGACATTTCAAAAATTCGCTCATTGGATACTTTCACTGTGGTTTTTAATTTTTATAAACAAATAATTCGTTAATATTAGAACATGAAATGATTACAAAACATTTAATAATCAATCCTGAAACGCAAAAATCGATTTTTTGTATCAACTTTTTGACGTGTAAAAATTTCGTTCATTGGACATTTTTTAGTGTAATCAAAATTTTTAACAATACAAATAAATCGTTAAAATTGGGAAAAGAAATGATTACAAAACACCAAAACGTGAGAAAGGGCCAAAGATTGAATTTCGACCACTTTTTATCGAACTAATTTTTTGACGTTTAATTTTTTGTGCATCCAATATTTTTATGTATATTAATAAAGGAAAAAATTAGATCATGAAAGGATTTAAGTTTTATCGATTTTGGCTAAAAATTCGCTCATTGGATACTTTTACTGTAATTTTTAGTAAGTATATTTAACATTTTTAAGCAAATAAACAAATAAATTGTTAATATTGGAACATGAAGTAATTACGAAAGACTTAATGATTAAATCCTAAAACGCAAAAAACCGGCAAAAATTTGAGCCTGTCCTATTTTTATCAATTTTTTGTAACGTTTAAAAATACGTTCATTGGATACTTTCACATGTCCACTTTTTCACTTCTTTTCTCACTGTGTCTAATATTTAAAACCAAATAATACTCGAACAAAATCATCAAAGTTTCATTCGAAAATGAGAAATTGTCAACTTTTTTTTAATCAAATCTTTGA